ATTTCCCCACAGTAAAATACCGTAAGACATTACACTATGAAAATAACTAAAGTAGAGTAATCTGGCAGTTTCTATGTCCGTTAACTGCCGCATTTTCATTACAGCATATGCTGCAGAACTAAGTCTCTTCGACAATCCATCAATATGTGGGCCCCACTGCAGCTTAGAATCTAGTGTGATTCCTAAGAATACCTGGGCTGATCAACCTAGAAAAAACTGTGGTATCTACAGAGCTCATATGTCGATCCTTTATATTTACATTAGTTTTTACCTGTTTCACATTAGGTAATACAAATTTCAAACACTTAGTTTTCCCTTCATTTAGCATCAAATTATTAACATTGAACCAGTGGACTACCTTCGAAATAGACCTGTTCACGTCATCAATTTGTGACTCCCTACGTTTAATTTTAAACAAAAGTGAAGTGTCATCCGCAAACAATACTATTTCGTGGTTATCCTTTACAAAATAGGGCAAGTCATTGATATAAATTAAAAATAAGAAAGGACCAAGGATTGAGCCCTGCGGAACTCCCATCTTAACCGACGAACCAGGAGATTTTACTCCATTGATGTCAACCCTCTCAACCCTATCACTCAAATAAGATACAATAAGATCCAGAGTGGTATCTCTAAATCCATAGTGGTGAAGTTTCCTGATCAATGTTTCATGAAAAACGCAATCAAAAGCCTTTGATAAGTCACAAAATACACCTAATGCATCTTGCGAGTTCTCCCAGGCATCAAAAATTTGCTGTACAAGCTCAACACCGGCATCGGTTGTTGAGCGACCCCTTGTGAAACCAAATTGTTTACTATGAAGAATGTTATTACTATAAAAATATGATTGCATTTGATCTAGCATAATTTTTTCAAAAATCTTACTAAAGGTGGGTAACACGGATATAGGTCTAAAGTTTGTGGGGTCAGATGTGCTACCCGATTTATGTAATGGAGTTATTTTACTGAGTTTCATTAGATCAGGAAAAACACCACAGTCAACACATTGATTAAAAATGCTAGCCAAAATAGGAGCTAATCAGGGAGTGATCCTCTAGGTAGCGGGTCAGATGGTTATTAAGGACCTTTTCTAGAACTTTACATAAAACTGAGGTGACTGCTATTGGCCGATAGTTTGCCGGGTCTGAGCGATCCCCTTTTTTGGGCACCGGTTGCACGTTAGCATCTCTCCAAGTCTCCGGCACACGCCCCAAAGAATACGAGCATTGGTACAAGCGCGTGAGCACGGGAGACAACTCCGCTGCACATTTTTTAAGTACTACTGCTGGGATGCCATCAGGTCCACTAGCTTTCCGGACGTCGAGTGATTGCAATTCGGCACGAACCTCACGCTGCCTGATTTTAATATCAGGCATCGTTGTGCCACAGTGAGGTAATGATGGTGGCAGTGCATTGCAATCATCGATTCGGGAGTTAGCCGCAAAGAGTTTTGCCAGTAAATCGGCTTTCTCCTGCGGCTTATGAGCTAGTGTTCCGTCTGGGCATCTCAGAAGTGGCAGCGAGGGCTGGCAGAAGTTTTTTTGCACGGCCTTGGCCAAACGCCGGTAGCTACGGGAGCCCGCAGGATGCGTTATAAGTTCCTGGCCAACACGTGCAACACGCTGGGCATCCGCTCTGATGTAAGCCTTCTTACAGGCCTTGGAAGCAGAATTGTAGGCTGCTTTGAGTGAATCGACCCCGGGATCCTTGAGAGCGCGGCCTCTGATCCAAGCACGATATGCCGCTTGCTTACGCGAAGCAGCTTCAGCACAGTCGTGATTGAACCAGAGGTTACGTGTGCCCTTACTGATGAGATCAGAATGAGGAATATAGTATTCCATACCCATTATGATCTCCTCAGTAATGGCAACGGCACTGCCCGATAGGTCCCTGTCACTGAAGCAGCGCTGCTTCCAAGGGACGGACGCAAAGTAATCACGCATAACGTCCCAATCTGCCGACCCATAATGCCAGATACGGCGCTTGACCACTGCTGGACGCGGAGGCTTGGCCTGTGGTGCTTTGGCAGATATCAGGCAGTGGTCGGACGAGCCCAGGGGGGCTCTTACCACAACCTGATAGCCCTGTGGATGGGTCGTGAGCAGAAGGTCCAGTAAAGAAGGCGCTTGACTTGGAATATCTGGGATCCTGGTGGGCTGATCAACCAGTTGCTTCAAGTCATGCGTGAGAGCGAATGTGTGAGCAGAGATCCCTGCATGGTCAGTTTTGGAAGAACTTAACCACAAATTGTGGTGAGCATTAAAGTCCCCCAAAAACACCAATTCTGCATTGGGAAATCATCGCCGGTGTGGGATCTGTAGAGACACACGTAAACTCTGGCCCGGGGGCCAGAGTCGACGTGTACCCCCAGCATGGAGAAGGAGGGATCTTCCAAGCAGCGGAGACGGCGACAACAAACATCCGCCCGAACATACAGGCATACACCGGCTATCGCTTTGAAGGACTCTTCAAGCACGTAGCCGGGATAATTAAGGTAGCCTGTGTCAGCAGGCGGAAGTATTTGTGTCTCCGTCAGGAACAACAATGCTGGCCGTGCTGTCTCGAGATGGTGGTGGACAGCGTTGAGGTTAGAGTGGAGTCCGCGTATGTTGCAGAACTCGACCTCAAACAGCGTTGAAGGCGTGGGGGTGTGCACCGCTGTACGTCCAAACTTTGTTATTGAGGCTGCCATGGTGGAAGTGAAAAAAAAAAGAGACGCGAAAACGAGCGGACGCCGTCGCGAAGAGTCCGGGCAAATAAGGGGGGTTTGTCTTGCCGATTGACTGCCTGCAGTGGAGATGCGCCGACCCGCCGGACGGAAGGGCCCCCGCACCCCCCCGGGAGTGGCCGCCGGGACCCCACGCCCCGGTCACCAACCGGCACGACGGTCCACCCCGAGATTATGCGTGACATGATGGGGCAGCCTCGCGAACTGGTGAGGAACGCTTGGGCCCCTGTACTGTGCCACGGGCGGCCAGCGGGACAGCCGTTTCTACGGGTCTCCCTGGCCGACGGGTCGATGCAGTCCTCCCGGCATCGGTTCCACGGATGCCTCCCCTGGACCGAATCCTTCGCGACAACTTCCACTCGAGCTCTGGTTGTACGCTGGCTGACCCCGAAACGCGCGAGAAGCACTTCACGGGTTTTTCACCATGCGCACGGTGGTAACAAACCAGGCGGGTGTTAGGCACCCTACCACCAGAAGAGCGGATGGAAGCTCCGACATCCCTTAGTCGCTTCTTACGACACCCACGGGAAGAAAAGGGGCGGTGAGTTGTATTCTTTCTCCGTCACCTCACGGATTAAACACAAAATTATTAAACATCAAATGCAGTCAAGCGAAAAGCACAATAAACGGCGAATCATCAATCACAATTCCTAACAATATGGTCGCTAAATAAATAACTATGAAACAAAACAAAGCGCAAAATAAACACAGTCACAGATTGGAAAGAATTTGAATATATCATAACAATATGAGGCGCTTATCCAAATTTTAAAAGTATCGATACTTACTTGCCAAAAAGTACTCGATAAGTAAAAGTATCGAATACAAAGTATCGAGTACAAAAGTATCGGTATCGAAAGGAAAAGTACTCGATACCACAAAGTATCGATACTTTTTTCGTGTCCCTAGCACCGAGGCTGCAACCAAGCTATATTGATTCTTTCTCGGTCTTGACCTGCTCTTCACTCTTAATAAGTACTGGCACCTGGTTCTGCACCCACGCTAGTGAGTCACCACTGGGTCCATAGAATTAAAGCAACAGTTTGTTATCTTCGTATTGTGGCTCATTAAAACTGTTGTCTCAGTCAACTGCATTGTTCTTTTGGCGACGGCGAACCTGCACAGCATCCTCCTACTTCTCCCACGTACTACAATATTACATTTCGATTTTCTATTTATTTTATTTGTTCTCTCGTTAATTATGTGCCACATAGTCTTTACTTTATTATTGGAGCTGTTTATTCTATTTTTATAATGCATTCTTTTTGAATATATTATTTTTTTTTTTAATATTTTTTCATATTGCCTGTAATGATTCTGTAAGATGGGATTGTTAGATTTTGAAGAAATTATTTTTAGCAACCTTTTATTTTTACATGATTTTTTTAATCCTACAGTTAACCAATATTTTTTTAGATTTGATTTTAATTTAATTTTACGTTTAGGTATGCATTTATCTAATATTTTCATTAAAATATCATGAAATATATTGTAGTTTTCATTAATGTTTTTGTTAGGATTTATTATTTCATTCGCGCTCAATGATTGAAGCTGGGATTTAAAATCCATTATTTCTTTTTTTTTGAAAAACCGTTTTTCTAAAACCCATTCGGTTTGCTTTATTTGTGTTTGTCTTTTTATATGGATGGTTGTTCCTGCATGATCTGAAAAACCATGCTCCTCAACACCCGTATACAAATATTCATTATTAAAGTTAGTAAAAATATGGTCTAAACATGAGTTTTTGCGAGTAGGTTTGTTTATATGCTGGATTAATTTATACTCTAACATTAAATCAAGAAAATCTGATGTTTTTTTGTTCTTTTGTAGTACATTTATATTAAAATCTCCACCCAAAATAATTTTATATTTAGTAAATTTATTATTAATAAAATTCAAAATAAGTTTTAACTGTACATAAAAAATACTCTCCTCTCTTCCATTCCAATACAATAACACAATCAAAGTATTTTCTTTACAAAGCTCAACCGCTGTTACTTCTAACACGTATTCAATCGACATGTTCTTAATATCTATTATCTCCTTATACTTTAAATGATTTTGTAGCAATATGCAGAGGCCACCTCCTGTGTGTTTTTTCCTACAAAATGACGATGCAATCATATATCCGGTGAAAGAGAGCAATTTGAGCTTTTCAACTGTCAACCATGTCTCTGATAAACAAAGGATATTATATTCAGGATTACTATCTAGAAAAGCTTCTAATATATCTTGTTTATTGTATATACTCTGCATGTTTTGGTAAAGTATTCTAATTAAATCTTTGTTTTCGAAAGGAATAATTATTATCAAAGCTATTACGGGGATTCGGGGTTGACTCAGTTAATTTTCCTTGATTTTCCTTATTCATAGATGTGTTGATAAGAGTCTCTGCGTTAGGATTTTGGTTAAAATTAAATATTTTCCCATCTACATATAGTTGGTTGTTGCGTAGTACAGCATGTAACCCTCTCTGACGAGCCAAGAACATTTCCTCCCGCATAGCCTTCCTCCTTAATAGGGTAGTTTTATCTAGAAATTCTGATACCGACAGCCCACTTCGTTTCAAAGAGTAACTATTTTCAATTATTTGTTTTACTATTCTTCTACTTATAAATTCTATTACTAGAGGCCGGTTACCATTTTTATTGTAACGACCTATTCTGGATATATCTTCAATATATCCAGTCAGATCCACGCCCATCAGGTCCCAAAATAATCCGTGTATCCGGTCCAATAAGTAGTTTTCAGGTTCCATATAATATTCAGCTAATCCGTAAAGTACTATTTTTTTAGAATCATTTTCAGGATACTTATTTTCTTTACATAAAATAGTCTTGGTTCCCAATTCTTCCAATTGTTTTTTTAACAAACAGTTTTCTTTTTGCAGATTATCTATTTTAGTATTGATTTCTTGTATTTCTAAGATTCGGTTCCTATTTTGTTCGCTTAAATTATTAATTTGTTGTTTCGATTCTTTTTTTAACAGTTCAATTGCTTGCTTTACTTCTTCCTGAATAATATTTCGTAACTGCGATATAACATTTATATTATTTTCTGCGAGTTTTTGAGAAATAACTTCGCTTACACTTTGCAGCGTTAGTTCAGGCCTATTAGTAATTCTCATATTATTAACAGTGTCGTCACCCAGGAACGTTGTATTTTCGGAGTTCACACTGCATAAACTGTCATTTCTTTGAACAACCGAACATTTTCTGACGGTTATATTGTTAACTTCAGGTGATTTACATTGTTCCTCAACTATATTGTTACAATCTTTAGATCTTACTGGTGTATTTTCGTTACCAATTTTCGGCATCTTACAATAACAAGCCTGGCATTTCCACCTCTGTTTGTGTTCCAGTGTCATTGTATTGTAGAAGCGCTGGCTAGACACATTGGCGCATTCAAGGTCATAATTTTTTTGGCAGTACGAACAAGTAAGAAATTCTCTTTTAGGTATTTTTTTGTTGCATCCCGCGCATGTTGGAGACATTCTCGTATTCATATTTTCTTTTAGTTATAATATACTATTTCGTTTCTAATTATTTTATTTCCCAAAGCAAAATGACATCTAACATTGACAGCAAAGCTTAATCCAAAGTTTAATTCACTTGAGTAGAAAAGCAATGATAAGTTTTGACATCAAAGCTTGTTGTTGTTACTTGGTACTGCAATTCACCACTAGATGGCGTTCGGTGTAATTAAGTTTCTTAGAAGTCGTCAAAAGTTGAAATTTTTAGTGATATTTTTATTTTAATTTCCAAGCAAAATTTGTTTTATACACACAGATTTGTTTTTATGTGCACGAAAATAAAGATCATGAATTTTTATTTTTTTTGCTTCACTTGACGGTATTTTGTGCTGCACTAAGAAAATTATAATTGTTATTGTAGGCACTTAAAGCTCACAGAATCACTAAAAACACTTATATAGGCTTATTACTGGCTTACATTTTATTTGCACTTAAACTTTATTTAATATTCAGAGAAATATAATTTTAAATGTATAAATAGTACGGAGCTAACTGTTTATGTTGCGCGTAGCGCCCTCTCTCTCCTGCTCCTGCTCATTTCATCCGGCCCAAGGGCTGGCTGTAATGAGCAGGGAGGAATCCCACATACCTTGTTCTCGCTCCCCCGGTGGTTGAAGGATGCGTTAGCATTTCCCAGACAAGAAAAAAATGGTGTCCTGGTACCTCCTAGATAGGTTTTTAGAAGAGAACTGGGTTTGTAAACCGCGCATTTACCAATTGTAAAGGGAGATTTTTTTTTTAATTCCATCCTTGATTATTACTTTGTGCTACTGCTTTCTGTTTCTACTTCAAATCCTAGGTTTTTGATATGGCGGTTGGCAACCTAATATAGAATACTAGTGCGTACTCACGACTTCGTCTGTGTGGAAAAAATGGTTTTCCATACAATCTTCCACGCCCCTTTCACGCTCTTAATGATATCTGGGATAAAAACTATATATGCTATCTCCTTTAACGATTCTCAAACTATCTCTCCGTCAAATTTCAACGAAATCGGTGTAATGGTTTCAGTGTGAGGATGTGACAAAATGAAAGACACAATTTCGCATTTATAATATTAAGTATGGATAGCTCATAGCACGATATCGAGCACCACATATTTACATAGAATATTTTCACCGTACGCCATAGTATATTATAGTATAACGTAGTCTGAACGCAGTTTTAAGCAAAGTCGTTAAGCGCAATCGCAAAAGCGATTCAAGCGATAGCCAGTCACGGGCAGTTAGCGACGCAGAGCTGCGACCACCACTCCAATGAAAGGGTAATGTATATGGTAGGGTCATGATAGACTTAGTACAACGCCGCTCATGCAGCATTATTTTTCCGAGAGAAATGTAATTTCGTTTGAGGATAAAGACTTTCACATTACAAAGAACAATTTAGTTAAACGACTGTTATTCGTAAAAAGTTAAATATCGTTACCAGGAATGCCCCCAAACATGAAAAATAAATGGTTTGTGAAAAACTTTTTTGACCTATTTTTTTTTGCAACGATAAGCCGGTACGTTATCTTACGAAAAATTCACGTCGGGATCACCAGTGTAGTAAGGCCTAAAGGGAAAATCTTTCTCCGAGCTGGGTGATGGTAGCTCGGGGGCTGCGGCCCGACTGATGTTGGTCGGGCATCGTATATATGAACTGTTGGCTACCGAATTTTACTTGCGCGATGTAGGATTCCTTACGTTGTGAACGCAGCGCTGGTAGTGCCATCTCTTGAGGAGGCGTAAGATTGTTTCCTCTATGTTAGTTATATGTGGGACGTGTAGATGTCGCCGCCACTATAATATCATATTTGTTTCTTCCCCTGTACTTATTGGAATATTTGCTTTGTTTATTAGAAGTTATTGTTCCGTTGTGAATGAAGATTGGAACAGACTTTTGAGATCCTGCAATCCGAGCATTCAATGCACGAATAAATGGGGATCGTGCTCCATTACATCCAGCTAGCATCGACGTTACCATCTTCAGACGAGATAGCGTACAGACGAATGTCGAATAAAAAACATGATACGAAAAAACAAGCGATTGAAAGGCTTAGCTCAAAGTTAGAGCAAAAACATGTTAACATGCCATTATATTAAAGACTAAGTTAAGGCTATTGGTTGTGGTAACGAAAATTTTAAATGACACATTCATTGTCATTATATTAAAGACTTAGTTAAGGCTATTGGTTGTGGTAACGAAAATTTTAAATGACACATTCATTGTCATTATATTAAAGACTTAGTTAAGGCTATTGGTTGTGGTAACGAAAATTTTAAATGACACATTCATTGTCATTATATTAAAGACTTAGTTAAGGCTATTGGTTGTGGTAACGAAAATTTTAAATGACACATTCATTGTCATTATATTAAAGACTAAGTTAAGGCTATTGGTTGTGGTAACGAAAATTTTAAATGACACATTCATTGTCATTATATTAAAGACTAAGTTAAGGCTATTAGTTGTGGTAACGAAAATTTTAAATGACACATTCATTGTCATTATATTAAAGACTTAGTTAAGGCTATTGGTTGTGGTAACGAAAATTTTAAATGACACATTCATTGTCATTATATTAAAGACTTAGTTAAGGCTATTGGTTGTGGTAACGAAAATTTTAAATGACACATTCATTGTCATTATATTAAAGACTTAGTTAAGGCTATTGGTTGTGGTAACGAAAATTTTAAATGACACATTCATTGTCATTATATTAAAGACTAAGTTAAGGCTATTGGTTGTGGTAACGAAAATTTTAAATGACACATTCATTGTCATTATATTAAAGACTAAGTTAAGGCTATTAGTTGTGGTAACGAAAATTTTAAATGACACATTCATTGTCATTATATTAAAGACTTAGTTAAGGCTATTGGTTGTGGTAACGAAAATTTTAAATGACACATTCATTGTCATTATATTAAAGACTTAGTTAAGGCTATTGGTTGTGGTAACGAAAATTTTAAATGACACATTCATTGTCATTATATTAAAGACTAAGTTAAGGCTATTGGTTGTGGTAACGAAAATTTTAAATGACACATTCATTGTCATTATATTAAAGACTAAGTTAAGGCTATTAGTTGTGGTAACGAAAATTTTAAATGACACATTCATTGTCTCAGAAATGTTCTTGTATCTTACGTGATGAGTTTTTTTAAACTGCGTAAATTTGAAGTTCTTTTGTGGCATTACTGAAACTGATTCATCGTCAAATTATTTTTAAATAAACTCAATAGACACATCAGGAAAACCCTCCTCCTTAATATAACCGAGTTCAACGGCTGATGTTACTATTGAAATATTAAACATGGAAGAAGAGCTCGAAATAATGAATCGTAATTGCTTCGGCGCAAATCAGAAAGCTTACTACTGCGTCCTCAAACATAACCTATAAAAAACAAGTACAAAAGCTAACAATACACAATCAGTGTTCAAACGTCGCTCTAGGCTCGTTAGCTCGGCTTTCTGTACTAAATAACTTTTATTCAGGCGACTATTTGGCAGTGTTGCAGCTCAGCACGGCGGCGGGCGGCGGGCGGCGGGCGGCGGGCGCGGCGCACCGTGAAATGAAACGAAAATGCCAAATAACAGGGAGGTCGCCCCGCGCATACGAAGCGACTGATGAAAGCTCGCCAACAACACACACGTTACATGCATTTGGCTGACACTCGAAAATTATCAAATAAGTGATTGAAATATGTTTTTAAATGTTATATACGCTTTCTATCAATAAATATAAATAAATAAATATATTTCCAACACACACACACCGATTAGCGTAGCCCCAAAGTAAGCACTATAAGGCTTGTGTTATGGGATACTAGGGTAACGGATAGAATACATATACTGTACATATATGAGGATATTTATATAGAAATACATATTAAACATCCATGACTGGAGTACAAATGCACGTATTCATCACACAAACATCTGCCCCCACCGGGATTCGAACCCGGGACCTCTCGAGTCGGCGACACCATGAAACCCGGCGTACAAACCACTCGGCCACGGAGGTTGAAAATTATTTTTTCATCCCACCACCTCGGAAAGTGTAATTTTGCGCTTCGAAATCTGGCTGGAAAATTCTATTTTATTCGCTTGAGCGGCAAAGTAGATTTGAATTTAGAACATCACATATAATGAGTACTCAATATAATTGTAAATTCAAAACGTCATTAAACCTATTTAATGTAACCTCTATGGTGCCAAATTTATGATTAGAACTTTTTAAATTGTGAAAAAATTTAAATTTGGAACCTTCTTGGTTTCTTTGTTTTATTTGCGTGCTTCGCGCCATTCTAGTTTTTCACGTTTTATTGCTTAAATATTTTGTCATTATAAATTGTTTTCTTTTTACCCGGCTGCGCAATGCAAGAGCGCGAAGCGCGACGCGCAGACAGGGTTATGTGTTTAACAGTCTATATATGTATGTTTGTTCCTTTGTGGCACACTAGAGACCAAACGCCTGGACCGATTTTGATGATTCATACATCAATCGATTCGTCTCAATCATGGGAGTGCTACTAAAGATATGATAGTAATCAAAATTCAGTATGGGCAAAATTAGGCGCCATATTGTGACGAAGTAAAAAAAATAAGTTGACAAAATATGTCGAGTGGGGTATCACTGTCTAGATAATCAAAAATCATATTTAGGTTCCTAACACCATTTTTCATTGTATATGATTGTTTAGGATCTACAACGCTTTTAAGTTGTATATTAACCACTTACGCTCTTAATTTCAATCTTACGTTTGTATGGTTTTTGTTGCTCTTTCACCAAAAAAATACTGAATGGATTTTAATGAAACTTAACAGTAATATAGCTCATATATGATAATTACATATATATAATAATTTATGTAGTTATTGAGTGAATTGGCCAATATATAACAATAAGTTTACCATAAGACGAAAAAAAATCTCCCATTTGCGAGCCATTTTGGCCTGCACTACAAAAACAATAA